GAGAGAGAGAGAGAGAGAGAGAGAGAGAGAGAGAGAGAGAGAGAGAGAGAGAGAGAGAGAGAGAGAGAGAGAGAGAGAGAGAGATGGGGATGATGATGTGAGGGCTCATACCTGGTATTGGAGAGAGATGGGGATGATGATGTGAGGGCTCATACCTGGTATAGGCAATGGTCGGCATTGGGCGACATCTTCATGTACTTCGGTGGCTGCTGACGTCAACAGTTGCATTGTCAATTTATAGGCAGATAGAAGCTGTGTGGGGAGTAGTCTGGGCGCCGAGCGCCAAGTAGGGGGAAGGGGCTGGACTGTATGTTAGTGATGACGAGGGTGAGGTCCCATTGACATTCGGTTTCAGTGTTTGGATTCTCCATTGGTGTAACATTGGTGCAATACTGCTTTCTGGTCACTGTGCGACTTTCTGGCTTTCAATGTGATGGTGTAATCTGGATTCTGTCATCTCGCCATTGCTCATTTTCCTTGCACGAATATGACACCACACATGTACTACAGAGGCAAAACTGTTTCAAAGCTGAAGTTGCTCATCTTTAGTGTGCTGGAACACAGGGGCACGGCGACCGCAATTGTATAGGCATTGCTGTTCCAGCCTCCAGGCCATTTACAAATAGGACATGGCATGTCAGGATGCCATACGTAAGTGCAATATTGACTGTCATCATTTATGTGAAAACGAAAACTTTCAAGGGCTATATACCTTCACAATCCTCACGATGCGAAGCATGCAAATCATATGCTAACTGAATCTCAGGCGGCGGGCCATCACAGATCAGCATCGACCAATTTTCTTCACTTTCCGCAGCCAGTATTCCCTGTCTATGCGCAGGCGATGACGGGGCCTCATCCAAAGTAAGGGTGTTTAGCTGTTGCAAGATCTTGTCTGCAACAGCTCGCCCTGGCGTGTGTGTGTGTGCTGCCGTGTTCGCTATACACAAACTGCACAAAAAAAAAAAGACTTCCGTCAGACTTTCACCGACTCATCAGGAGGTTGAACCCCAACAGTCCACCCAGTATTTGACTGATGGATCAGAAGTCAGGACTCACCATCTCACCCAGAATTGTCTGTGTGTGCATGTGCTCATGGTATTTGACTGATGGACAAGAAGTCAGGACTCACCATGTCACCTAGAATTGTATGTGTGTGCATGCGCTCATGATCCCTATACACAACTCCATTAAAAAAAAAAAAAAAAAGTGTTTTATGAATCGTTACCACAACAGCCCCTTCTCCACCCAGGACTTACCATGTCACCCAGAACTGTATGTGTGTGCATGCGCTCATGATCCCTATACACAACTCCATAAAAAACAAAAAAAAAGTGTGTTATGAATCGTCACCGCAACAGCCCCTTCTCCGCCCAGGAATCACCATGTCACCCAGAATTGTATGTGTGTGCATCATGGTAACCGCGGACCCGGACACCGGACACTTCCGGACTGTCTTAAGGATTGTGACGAACTTCACAGTTCAATTCAGAACGTCAGAGTCTTAAGTTCATAACTTCATATATAACTTAAAAGTTCAAACTTTGCAGTTCAATTCAGAACGT